AAGATGTATGGCTTACGTCAATATAAATTGCAATTATTTGTTATTCACCAGAAGTGGGCAACAACCTCTATTTACTTCAGATTAAAATGTAATCTATATCTGCATATGTTAATAAAATGAGTAAAATCAGTCAACAATATGAGCAGATCATCCTCCATGAGGTTTAAAAGAAGTCCTTACAGCATTCGCACAAATGTGAAATTATTTTCTAAAAGGATAAAATGTCATCAATGTAGATACAAATATCATCATTATGACCTTTCCTTTATAAGAGGAAGATGTACAAATCCATATTGAAGTTTAAATGCTTTGAAACTACCTGTTTTATTCTCAGTCTTAACTTTAAAATATGTCCATGTTGCTGCACATTGATTTGGAAAATGTCCCTTTGTATAATATTTTACCACTTAAATAAACATCGCTATGGAGACACATTGAAAGAGAATTGAATCATAGAAAATGAGTCTACACAGGGGATTACTATGTCAGTAACCATAGCTCTCTTGTGTAAAATTTGGGGTAGAGCCTGGACATTACAGCAATCAGACAGTGAATGAATTAGCAGCCATGGCTTCAGGTTGCAAACAGGAAACTGGAGTGGGGGGAGCACACAGCTGAAGAACTGCAGCTATAAACAATGTGTTGTTACAGTCATCAGTCAGTGACAATATGTCTGTTTGAAAGGGAAAAAACACATTTTACATTATTTTTGGCTGAAGCTGAGGTCTGGCAAAACAGACAAGCAAAGTCGGTCACAACAGCTGGCAGGGGATGGCTGTCCTGATAGCCTCAGGAAGAATAGATCACTGGCTGAATGCATCTCATGGAGGAGAGCTGTAATGGCTTCTTTGAATAATCTATGCACAGTCTAGGATAAGATGTCGTCATGAGAACAGAAGTTCAATTCAGAGTAGAACAATGTCTATAGTACAGATTACAAAATATGTTGAAATAAGAACAGCATCAATATAATTTATCGAGCCTATGAAATAAAATTGAAAAAATAAAACCCAAAGAAAGGTGATTTTTCAGCCTCCTCAAGCTGCAATGGGATAAACCATTATTCTGTTGTGATAATGGGAAGTGGAAATATATTTATTAATGAAGGCAGCATTATATAAAAGCATGCATGTAGTCTGCATTGTACTAAAGTTAAGAAAAAAAAAAGCTCAGTGTTTGAGCTTGACTTTTAAATTCACCAGTTACACACTCGTCCACACACCGACTGCACAACAGCAAAAATCCTTCTTAAAGGATTTGAATTTACACTGCTGATTGTTCACCTGCCTGACTATCGGGACCATTTTGGATTTTCTTTCCTTTTTTTTTTTGCATAGAACACTGTTTCCATAGCAACCGCAATTTGATGAATGTTTCTGTGCCAGTTGTTCTAAATTTGATGTACCATCCCCACATGTGCTGATTTATATGTCGGCAAAACGAAAAGACAAAGGATGCCATGATAGTCACACACTTCAAAAAATACAATCCTGATTTTCCTTTGCAATTTCTATTTATTATTCAAATATACATCCTAATGAGTTAAATGAATGGGCAGCAGAATGGGGTTGTTGTGGAGACAGCTACAGCGTCCTTGAGCAAGTCCGTCATCTATCATCAACTCATCTAAAACATTCACTTACAAATATGACCCTTACATTATTACACAGTATTATGATGCACCTTTATGGATGTTTTTTTAGACAGTATAACAATATAAGCAGAATAGTACATATGAAGACTCCAGCTCACATGTTGTCGTCTAAAACCTCCAGCACAGGATGGCCAGCGGTGATCCCATGGCAACAGCAGCCATACACACACACAAACACACGCATGCTGTAGATAACCAGCTACAGGCATCACTTCAGATGGACCATAGCTGACACTGCACTTAACTCCATCGTAGTACTCCAGATCAGCACAGTCTACTTCTCAGTCACTGTTCCTCCCTGTGAATGTGGAGCCCATCCCTTATTAATGCTTACACTTCTTCATATAAATACTGCAATAATTAAGCTATAAATTCTCTCTAATCTACAGCCGCATTCACCACATAAAAACAAAATCCCACTGATGTACAGGCAGCGAGGCAGATCTTCTCCGCTGAGATCTTGTAGATAAAAATCAAAGACATTGCAGATTCTTTAATTGATTTGTTTTCCTCTCTCGTTTCATTAAACCAGAGTGACAACCTGTTCATGTATATGTGTGTTTGTGTGTGTGTGTGTGTGTGTGTGTGTGTCCACCGCAGTGCAATAACTGCTATATCTTTTTCCACAGCCCACTGATGAGACAAAACCACACAGCATCTCTCCCTCCCATCCTCAGACAGAGCTGCACATTGCTGCACACTTTCTCTCGTCACTTTATCCCTCCAACTGTAGTGCAAGTCAAAGCTCTAGGTGATAAGACTCATGACCCCATTGTGCATGGGCTGCAGCCAGGGTATCCTCTCCACTGATCTGACTCACTCACACAAATGGGTCAAGCACCCACAGCCCTTCGATACTTGGACTGATGTCTCTGCCGTTCTAATAGCAACATGGTATAATATATAAAGCAGGATCCATGGGTGGAAGTCCTAAACTCATGCTGCTATTGCTGTTGTTACTGATATTACAGTTTATATTTACACGCTTATTTTTCTATATATTTACACTTTTGTATATAACTATAGTATAATGATTGTAAAGATCTTTGAATTTTGAATCTTGGAAGTTTGTATTTGTGTTAGAGGTAACCCTAGCTTTGGTCAACTTGCTCTGACGTGGCCTAAAAAAATATGAGAGCATCAGAATCAATTCCATAGTCAAAAATAATAATAACTGTGGTTTCCACTGATTACAACACTCACCTCCTTTCCACACTCATTGGCGACACATCACCAATCCCCCCACATTCATCCTCCAGGCCTAAAAACTCAGAGAGGGAGCACCAGAGAATAGCTTCTGCCAAAATGTAACTGCTTAAGCCTGATTGATTGTTGCCATCTGCAGTCTTAAGCAGGAAATGGTTTCCAAATGCTGTAGATAAACAATGTGGGACAAACACAGCAGGAAACTAGTTTTAAGTTTAACATCCATGTCTGAAAGTCGGTCTACTGTCGAAGCAAGTTTGACGTTGTTTTTAAATCTTATATTTTCATAGTGACCAAACATTGGGTAAATCCATTTAAACCGGTTTAAATATGCTTAAGCAGCTTGCAGCCATCTCTGGAAATGTCCTCTTTTTAATATTCTAATCCAGAACGGGATCAATACACCGCTCTCTACTTGTGTTGGTCAGTACAAACAGAGAGCACTGCACAAAGAACTGATGTGTGATGGGGCGCTTTATTGTAAACCACTTTGACACCACAGATCACCATCTCACTGAGGATGTGCTGCTACTCAGCTGCAGAGAGGCAAAGGTTTTTCAGTACGGACGTTTTTCTTTGACGAATGCACGAACACTATGAAAACACACCAAGGCTACAAGAGCTCTAGTTACCACCTAACCCCTCCCTCTATAAAACAATGCACATAATTAGACATTAGATACATCATTCACAGTCTATTCCTTGATGTTCTAACCTGGCCTGTTTCTCTTCAGGGTCATGTTGGGACTACATGTGCACTTCCAATCCTGAGCATTAAAATCCAACTGAATTGCTATTTAACTGAATAAGAAACATGTGGGTGGCTATTCACAGCCTTCATACTACAATGTTGTATAGAGCTGTATGGGTGCAACAGTTTTCCAAGTCACTCTGCAGTAGATTTCCTCAAGTAAGTTATTTAAGTCACAGCTGGTTCTCTGGACAGCACCAGTTCTGAACATGTGGCTCACTGGGGAGGAGAGGTGACGTATTACAGAGACATTCAGAGTGTAGCCACAGGTGCACTGCTAATCCCCACTGACCTACTTCTGATTCTTTTAAAGCATTAAAGGAACCAGAAGACCTTAAGGCCTTCACAATAGTGCAGCAAGTTTTGCAGAGTGCTTCGGTGCTGAGGTGACCATTGGTTTACCAGCAAGACTCTTTTGAATTCCATCTGAGGTTATGTGTGCACTCCTGCTCACTTGTATTTAAGCATGATTACTATAATAACTACTGGACAGATTACCTGGAAACTTAGTGGAAGGATACAACGTGAGTCAGGGAAGAATCTGTTCAATTTCAGGGGGTAAATCCAGGAATTTGTCTTTCACTTTCTTGAGCATTGCTAGCTTTTTTCAACATTTTAGTGTAAATTTCCCAGAAAATAAATTTACGAATCTTGATGAAAGAAATCAGGCATGTTTAGTGGACTGATATTGATGAGGGTGTGCAATTTGGTGCAGCTACATCAGATTAAAGTGGACTGTTGGGCCTCGGCGGAGGCATACGCTCTATAGTGCCCTTCTATGGATATTTCAGTTGAGTGTAAAACTCATATATTTGAGTGTTGTATGCAAAAAGGCTTGAGGAGTTTGGGTTGGATTTAGGATTTGGGATTATCGGATGTGAGCAATTGCATTTGCATTTCTAATTAGTATTAATAACCAAATCCATTTGCAATGCAGACCACAAAAGAAAACTTGCAGGCTCTGGTTATGATGGGAATTGTTGTGATAATACAAATTCTGGGGGGCTCTCTCACATCAGTCTCCTGTAGGACCACAGACTGACAGGCCTGTGTGGTCACACTGAAGAGCAGACGATGCAATTTGGCTCTGGGCCTTCACTAATCCTGACAAAGCTATTATTTGTCTGCTTTTGCAATTTGAACTGCAGGCATATCGCCTTTATTTAGTTTTCAATTTCCAAGAATTAGTACAGAGCGTTGTACAGAGAAACTGGGTCAAAATGTGTGTGTGTGTGTGTGTGTGTGTGTGTGTGTGTGTGTGTGTCTGTCTGTCTGTGTGTGTGAGAGAGGGAATTTCAGAGCGAGAGAGAGAAAGAGAGATGCATGTGTGTCACAATGGAGAAGTCACTTCAGTTCCATTTTTCATCACAGACGCAACAGAAAGACGGATTAAAAAGCTTTATTCAAACTAGCATGATCAGGCAGAATATTTACGCCAAATAAGCAACATCAAAATCTGACAATTAACTCGACATGAAAATAAAGCAAGGCCATTCTCTCCCATATTGTCTTTGATCCACTTAGTGGGATGGAGCTGGATTACGTTTGATGCAACTCCCGAAGCATTACTGCACAATCTGAACTGGCAAATCAACTGAGGAAAAGAAAGAAAACTGAGCTGCGCACACAAATGAGGAATAACACTTTTTTTTTTTTTTACTATATCGAGCACAAGCACCCCCTGTGCCGTCCGATCACAGTGAATACAGAAGATATCAAAAAAGTCTACTGTATAAAAAACACAAAGTATAAAGCAGTTTAATTTACAGTAATCTACTGGTTCTAAACCAAAAAGGCTGAGTCCCTTTATCCAACAACTCCTATTCAAGGTGGTATTTTCTCATGGGGATAAATACTGTACGAAATGCCATTATTTCATTCATCAACAGTCTCAGATACAGAATCTTTTACAATGCGGAAGGCACGCAAGGGGCTCATCATTTATATATATATATATATATGTGCAATTTATAATACTTTAAAAACTGTTGGAATCAATCGGTTCTGGCAAAAGCTGCGCTTACATGTTCTCCACAGCGAGAGATGCTTCATTAAATGACACCACGAGTCAGACAGACAGTTGTGTTTATGTGCTCAGCAGCCTGGTCTAAAAATTAGAGGGGTTAGATTTCCCTGACTCAGACTGTTACCTGATACGTCTGAAGATGTGTCCACATCAAGAATAGGGTGCATATTTCAAAGTGCTGTCGTATGCTCTGTACTTTTCCCTCTATGTGATCAGCACTGTTATTTTTCTTATTACTTGCAGAGTCAGTGCAGGAATACTGCACCTATGAATAACACAACGTTCCTCATCTCACTACGCCTTAACCACTTACTTGTAAATACTTTTGCACCCTAATGAGGGATCCTAATAAGCTCCCTGTTTCTGAGAAAGTCCTGGGCTTCACAGTAGTGCAACTGCGCTACCGTCTGAGGTCAAGAAAAGTAGTCTTGTTTTAGTTAAACGTATGTACACTATCAAAACAACATCGTCTACACTAAACTACAAAAACGCAACACAAAAAACGCCCTTGAAGAAGCTCACAGAAGCAGCATTAATAGTAAATACGTAAAATATCTATAAAAACATGTAGTCATAAAACAACACCTTGTTTTAAATTCCCTTTTTACCATGGCAAAGATAAATACATTTGAAAAATGTTGCTCTTTTCATTTAACTTAACATTTAACACATTTTCTGTTTAATTTCCAGTGACTGACATAATTTGAACCATGTGCATTAATAAATGCAGTGAGTATTTGTAGTGCAGTTTCATCAGCCTGGGGGAACAGAAGATGTAATAGCTTATACTGTATGTGTCATAAGCAAAATCTTATCACAAAGAAAAGTTAATTTTGACAATACTTTAAATTGTGTTCGAACCTTAGGGCACACTCTGGTACTGGCCCAGTTCATGATGTCAGCGTCCCACTCCATAAATATTTCACCTGAGGACACACCTGCCTCATGCACCCTGCTTGGAACACATTTTCTGTTTGAAAACAATCAATGTTGCAGTGTTGTTTTGCGTTTCCCTAATACACCCATATTAACGAATGCCCAGTCAGATACTTTACAGCACCACGGAATCTCTGTAAAGTATGAACTGCACTTCTGCGCGTGTCAGAAATCTATAGAACTACATTATCTACAATCAAATAAAAAAAAGTCTGTGTCTCAATTCTGGGGCTGCATCCCTTGGAGGCTGCACTTAAGACCGATTGCTGCATGACTAGGCTGTCTGACAAATGCTTTTCTCCATCCCCAAGAAACGAAGGCTCCAACGGGAGAATCCTTCCTGGCCCAACCTTTCCCAGGGTTCATTGGGTTTCAGTGACAAAGCATTTTTCAAAGAAGTAACAGCGCTGGCAAGCGAAGCCGACAAGACTGCCAATGCTTCAACCCAACAGTACACAGTTACAAACTAAGGGGCATTGAAACTTTCTTGGATGGGCCATCTACACCTCTGTTGCTAGGCAACAGGGGCGGGACAAGCTGGTGACCCTGATCACGGAAAGCCTGATCAATCCGTCTCATTTCGTTCCGGTCTTCTCGGTCATAGATCGCCTCCTCTAAAGGATGCAGTTGACTTGAGACACACATTACGGATCTCCTGTTTGTTTGCATTTTCCGCGTTTTACAGTTTTGTTTTCTTTCATTCTCTTTTTGTCATTTTCTCACATTCATCACTGTTAGTACAACAAACATTGTAAAAAAAAAACTTATCACCGATTATTGTCATTGGAAAGTTACTAGTTGAACGAGCCTCGGTAAACAGCAAGACTCATAATATAGTTGTTGTATAGTAATTGTTTTATCAAAAAAAGAAAAGGAAAGAAAGAAAGAAAGATAAATACCAAGTGCAAAGCCTGAATCAATGATAAAACCAGCTACAGTTGTGTATTTACCAGGTTTATGGAAGAATCTTATTCACCCTGTTTCATGTGTATTTACAATTAGACGTGTTTGCTTAAGAAATGTTGCATGATCGTGACCCTACTGATGGTTTTAAGAACGATACGGCACATAACGTAACCCTGGAGAGAAGGCAAGTTTTTCCACTGAGGAGCTTCAAAGCATTAAGGAGAAGGGGAAATACTACATGAGGCCACTCTATTAACGTCCAGATGTTCTGCCATGAATGGTTCAGATCCTATTGTCCAAATACTGAACATTTGAAAATACTTAGAATCATGCAGATTCATGCTCAGAAGAGAAAGAAAAACAGGAAGAAAGCTGAGGCGATTAGTGGTCGATGTTCGTATGTGGGGGGGTGGGAGGAGCTGGAGAGAAAGGAGCGTTGGAGAAGAGAGACTGGGGGAGGACATCTTCTCTTGTGAGTCACAGGGGGAAAGTTTCAGCCACTGCTTCCCACGAAGAGATGATTATATCATGGCAGTTCTCTCCTGGGTTCCTGCTGAAAGAAAAGACAAACAAAAAGAAGAATTAGCCACGACAAGAGTCCAACCTCAATATAAACTTGTAGAAAGTCCCCACTCATGCAACAGTGGATCGTGACTGGTTACTGCCACCATTGTTGACATGTTGTCGGCTTTCAGGGATTTCAGGTTTTGCTGTAATTTGGTAAATAATTTTCATTTTTTTCAAATCAGTGGTTTTGAGCATATTCGTTTTTCACAAAATCATCCATGGAAATCGGTCAGACTAACAATAAATAAGATATGACAAAGCCATTAACTACTACAGGGTTGTAGGTGTAAATAAAGCATGCACAAGCAGGCATCACAACGTGCTATTTGGTATTTGGTGGGCCAGTATTACAGCTAAAGATGGGAAGATGAATGTATTGTTGAGATTTGGTTGAGCAGAGATAGTGTGTAGGGATGTGGATGTGGCTCTCGGGACAGTACACGCTGAGAACCTATTCGGGACAATTCATTCTCTAATCCTCCCCCCCCCCCCTTCTATCTGTGCCATCACTTTGCCCCGAATCTCTGCCAAGCCAGCCAGATGTGCACACCACATATCTGACCAGCAGCCAATTTTTATTCTAATCTCCGCTCTCTGTATAAGCTGATAGGTTTTCTTACTCGAGAGACTGGCCAATTTAAATTTTAGCACTCACAATGGCGTCGGATTTGGTTTGAGCAGAGTTTTGGATTTGCGAGGGATAGCGGCCCTGGCCGGGGACGAACAGGAAATGAGCTGATTCTGCTCTTTTTTATCTGGAAAATATGTTCACTAAGGGATTACACCAAAGATTTGAATTTCGGGAACTGTGACAAAGTTTTTGAGCCGAACCAAACATGTATACCAAACAGGAAAGGATAGAAAATGTCTACACACTTATAGTGGATCTACAGAATGTAGTCAGCAACCAGCATACCTCCACTTGTAGAATGGACTTCCTTTCATTTTGAGTACTTAAGAATGGAAAAAAGAGACAAGTTCAGTTGTGTGTGTGTGTGTAAAACTTTGACTCACACTCACAAAGACATACACAAGACACACTTTCGCTCTCTCTCTCTCCCCAGATACACCTGTGCGTTTATGCATATTGATAATGTTTAATCTTTCAGAGCGTCACGTGTTTCAGTTTAGTCTGCAGGTCCAGCTGTACAAAGACAAACAACATCTGGATCGTATCAGCACTTCCACACTGGTTTACAGTCGACTGTGTGCGGGGCCACCACTGCCAGAGGCTCTACAGCCCCCCCTCCCCCAACGCCCCCACAGCACCATATGCATCTCATTTCATTCAGCAACACGTCTCTGTCCTTGAAGAGAGAGAGAGAGAGAGAGACCCCTCCATGTCTGGGCTTCTCTGAAGTACTCCCCCCCTCGCTCATCCACTGCTTATGCTCTGCCTCTGTTATGCATCTGTAATAAATGACCTACATACTACATTAGACATCGAAACATTTTCAGTTTGGGGTGGATTGGAGGGGGGGTGTTTGTTTGGCCTGATTATGCATTGAAGTGCTGATACTTTGCTCTGGAAACACACAGATATCTAACATCAGCATGACTGTGGTCTTATTTTGAGACCAATATTACAATATTAATTGCTCAGATTTTTCTTTCTGTTGCCTTTATAGGTGCATTATCATCTATTATATATTTCAGTTGAATGTATTTAATTTGTTAAGTAAATATTTTGATCAAATTCAATATTTTACACCATCAACATCAACGACCCTCGGTTTTCATTTGTATCACATTTTAATGAAAAAAAATATATATTGGGAGTCTGATACAGTTCAATAGTTTAGCCCATGCCCTGTTTTTGTATTTAATGTCAATCAAGTAACTAGTAACAATAGCTGCCAGATATTTTAAGTGGAGTAAAAAAGTATATTTACTTCTAAAATGTATAGACGAAGGTGTGTAGTAATTGGGATCAAAATTAATTCCCCAAAACGTAATTCTGGTTATGTGCAGTACTGAACTAAGTACAGTACTTGAATAAATGTACTTAGTTACTTTCCCCCACTGCTTGTTAAAACTATGGGTAGACCTTGAAGATCATCTCGTGCCCTAAATGAAATATCAGAAAATGTATTCATCAAATGTGTGTAACTTAAAATAACCAGAAACACAACAGTTAGACAGTTGACACTGAAAAACTTGTCTTTCTTATGTTAGAAATACTTCATGACATGTGAAATGATTAAATTACTTTAATATGGGGATATATTTAGTAGTAAAGGCTTTACTTTTGACCTGTAAAAATTATTAAGTTAGGGGGGTTAGAACTAGAGTAAATCCCTTTTCACCTCCATCATAAGCTGCATTATATTTAAAATAATGTATCACATCTGTTCATCAATCATCAGTATCAGTTTAACTCGCAGCCATGTCATGTCATACATACCTCCAGTGTGGACGCTCTGGAGTCTGTGGTCTCACTTGGCCCTATGCTTCTGGGTATACTGGACACAAAGTACCCGGCTCCTTTCGGGATTATGGGCTGTCTCACCACCACTTTGCCTTTCCTGGTCTCTGCGAGGAACAAACTGTACCAGTAGGCATCGCTGGAGATCAGGGTGGAATCTGCGATGGTGGAGCTCCTCTGGCTGATCACACTGTTTCTGCTGATCACGCTGTTCCTATTGGCCGGGGGGATCTTTATGGCCTTTGGCTTTGGTTTTTGACACTTCAGCACAATAATAACCAGGATGGTTATCAGTAGCAGAAATGACACAGCTCCTAAACCGATCACCAAGTACAAGTTTAGGTCTGTGAAGACGTCATATTCTAGTGGCAACTCTGTGGTCTCTGAAAAGGACATGGCGTGTTCCACAGTTGATATCTTGATGGTGACAGTAGCAGAGAGCGCAGGTTGGCCATTGTCTTTGGCAATGATGACAAGCCGCTGTTGCCTTGGGTCTCTGTAGCTGAACATCCTTGTCGTCCGGATTTCACCGTTATACTGATCAAGACTGAAGAGGGATGCGTCACTGATCTGCAGGAGCTGGTATGTGACCCTTGCGTTCTGCTCCGAATCCGCATCAATAGCAATTACTTTGGCGACCAAGTGCCCCTTCTCTGTGGACCTGGGTATCACCTCCTCTATCAAGGAGCCCTGCGCCCGCCAAGGTGATACTATGAGTGGAGTGTTGTCATTCTGGTCCAGAATGATGATGTGAACTGTCACGTTGCTGCTCAGCGGGGGAACACCTGAGTCTCTCGCCTCAATGTGGAAAAGGAAGTCCCTCTCCCTCTCATAGTCAAAGGTTTTCAGGGCATAAAGATCCCCGTTCTCAGGGTTGATGGAGAACAGCATTGACATAGACGTGTTAACGATCTCCTTCTCCATTATGAAATAGACCAAGTACTGGTTCTCATTCAGATCTGGGTCAAATGCACTTAGAGATGTCAGCAGCGCCCCTGGTACGTTATTCTCCACCACATGGATTGTGTAGAATGACTGAGAGAACTTGGGTGCATTGTCATTGACATCAAGAATATCAACGGTGATGGTTTCGTTTTCACACAAGGGCGGCGAGCCTTTGTCTGTCACTCTCAGTATGATTTCATATTTGCTAATGACCTCTCTGTCCAGAGGCTTTGAGAGCAGCAGCTCAAAGTAACCCTCCGAGGATTTGTTGAGAACGAACGGTAAGATTTCCTGTTGACTCAAGCTGAGCTCCACTTCCCCGTTGACCCCAGAGTCCCTGTCGCTGACGCTGACCACCGCGATCAGTGCCCCCACAGAGACATCCTCGGTCAGTGCACTTTTCAGAGACTTGACGGTCACTTCAGGGTAGTTATCGTTCACATCCATAATGAACACCATCACCTTGCAATGGCCTGACAGCGGGTTGGCCCCTCTGTCCTGGGCCTGTATGTGCATCTCAAAACTTTGACTCTCTTCATAATCGATCACCCCCTTCACCCTGATTTCACCCGAGTTTGGATCAAGTGAGAAGAGCTCCTGCGTCTTCTCCGAGGTGTACAGTGTGTATGAGTAGATCAACTGGCTGTTTTTGCCTTCATCCAAGTCTGATGCGTTTAACTTCATGATCACTGTCCCTGCAGCCGAGTTCTCTGACACGTTGACTGCAAACACCGGCTGACTGAACAGGGGGGCGTTGTCATTGATATCCAGGACATTAATGATGATGTTGGCTGTGCCGGAGCGGGGAGGCACCCCTCCATCCACAGCGGTTAAAATCAGATTATGAACTGCATGTTCCTCTCGGTCCAAATTACCACTGAGGACCAAATCGACGTATTTGGAGCCATCGCTGCCAGCTTGTATGTCTATGATGAAGTATTTGCTCTCGCTGAGATAGTAGGTCTTGATTGAATTGGCCCCCACATCCGCATCCACGGCGTTTGTCAATGAAAACCTCTCACCGGGAGGGGTCGCCTCCGAAATGTCCAAGGGCATCGTCTTCCTGCGAAACACGGGCGCGTTGTCATTAATGTCCATGATCTCCAGCTCGATGTTGAAAATGCGAATGGGGTTCTCGAGGATGACGTCCATTTTCAGAAAGCAGGAGGTCGTCTTGGTCGTGCATATTGTCTCCCTGTCCATCCTCTCGCGGATGATCAGCTCCCCCGTCTCTTTGTTGATGTCGAGGTAGTTTTTGCTGTGGATGACATCGAGCTTCGCGCTGCGCTGCACCAGACTGCGAACATCCAGACCCAGATCCGTGGCCAGGTTGGCAACAAAGGAGCCCTCTTCCATCTCCTCCGGAATAGAGTAGCGAGTGATGGAGAGCGCACATCCCCACAGCGCAAAAAACGTGAAAACAGCCGCGACCGAGCGTGTCCGTGCAGCTGCAAAGATCCGCGCCATCGTTCTAATGTGTTTTTAAAGCTAGAAATGAATCAGATCCGCCCGCACGATCAGGTTGTCTTGATGGAGTTGGACGCCGGTGTCATCCTCGCAACCACGAGTTGTAGCTGCTGCAGCTGCACCAGGCCATGTACAGCACACAGCTCTGCAGGGGCGTACGAAGGGGGAGGGGGAAGGGGGGGGGTGTGCATGTCAAAAGTCAAGCACCAAAATTTCTATGATCCATCATTTTGTGCAGCGATTTGCAATTCTAAGACTCCCACTATATTAAATGTTATTCCATGAAATCATAACAGAAGTTGCATAGCTTCTGTATGAAAGCACAGGAACTTGAGGGGAAAGTAATTGTGCACTTGTGTATGAGCACACACACAGACATTAGGCCACAACATCAACACTGATCACCACATAATGATCGATACTTTTTTTCAATGAGTAAAAATCTTTTCGTCAGAGCTGCGGGTGCATTCCTCAGCCATCCAACTCACTCTCCTACTCTCTGTCTTGCGCAAGCTGACACAAACGAATCGACACGCACTCACATACAAACAGTGTCCTCGGACGCACGTGTAAACTCAGACTGGGTAAAAAAATATGTGAACTGGTGAATTTAGAGATGGAGGGGTGCCCTCAGTGTGGCTCGATTTGGTTGGCAGTGAGCAGCTCGATTGATGGAGACATAGAGGAGCAGTAAATTACAGACAGAGCTGGTAAAAACTGTAAAAAATAACTTTTTTATGGTCCAAACGTATAAAAGACCCAGCACTATCACTGTGAACTGATCGCTTGATCACTATAACCAAATTATTTCAACAACATTTGTATGGGAACAATTCTGTCCCAAGCTTTTTGATCCCTATAAGTGGTTTCTACTGTATAAGTATGAGAATAAATAGATAAGTATGTTGCCAACATACTTAAAAATTGTATGTAACTGAATTGCATTAAACATATTGAAGAAATACATATATATGATGCAAACATACGTGAGAATTATTGCACAATGAAATTATATGTATTGATAATAGATAAAGATAACAGACATGCTGTATTATAATGTACTATAATCAGTGCATACATTGCTCTTGGTTAAGAGCTGCATAGTCCAGCAGTCCAATGTGTAGAACCATTGGATATGAGTGTGTATGTAGTTATAGGTGTGTGGGTTTCATTCGTTTATTTGTTGACGATAAGACAAATACTTCAATTAACTTTCAGTATTTGGAGCTGCATCCAAACTGAAGATTTAGAAATGAGAATTTATTCTACATGAGATTATTAACAGTTTTATTTGAGAAAAGAAATTGCAGAACGAGCCTCACCAAGCTATTTCCAGAATCTACGGCTTTAATTAAAACTGAATGGTTATAAAATGAGAATGTAACATTTATATTGAGATTTTCTTTAGCTTGTTTAGACAATTTTGTAAAACTGTCACAAGAGCCTCTTAGAATATGGGTTATGATGATATGACTTGAGAATAGTAAAATAATTTGTATATAATTTATTTTTCTGAAAGCACCAAGAGATGTACATACACAAAAAAATTATGTAGTCTATTCCTCACAATTTCTATTTTTATTAAAGACAAAAGCAAGCCATGTTGTTCTTTTTGCTTTAGAATATATTAAAATATGTCCTCTGTAATAAAGCGAAACTATATCAGTTTTTGTTTTTGAATTATTGAAATCTTGGCCATGCTGGCAGTTGTCATGTGTCATGGCCTACATAGCCTTCAGTATACTCCCTGTCATTCACTGTGGTTGATAACCTATTTTATATTTGAACATGTTTGAGTCCTAAACTAAGTGAAGTGAGCTGAGAACAGTTCTCAGCAGCCCTCTCCTTTAGCTCCACCTAGTGACCGTTTAGAAACTCACAGGAAGCTCTGGACTTCCTCTGCTGCACTTTTGCCCCTTTGAAATAAATGAGGGAGAGATTCAGTCATAATGGACTGATGATAGACTGACATGAAAAGAGACAAGGCAGTAACACCCCACACACTGTTGCTATCCTGAATGCAAACACCTGTACAGCAGCACAAGGACCACATGTAAAATAAATAACAGGAATCAGCAATGAACACAAACACAAATATATAGGGTTTTCAGTTTTCTGCAATCAGTGTTGCTTCTGTTTTACCATGTAGATTGTTTAGTTGATGTTTAATTGACTTTATTAAATGTTATTTATGTTATCTTATTTTTCAAATTGTATTTTTTATATATTCTGTTAATATGTCCTTCCGCTTAAGCTTGTTGATGTTGTTTGTGTTTTACATTCAAAGTCTGATTTTCCAGGGGTCATTCTCATGAATTTGTTAATGAACCAAGGAAAAAGCCAGAGGCCATATTAAGGCTAATAAACAGGTTTTAAGAAAAAAACTGCCCAGCACAGTGTGGAGAGAGAGGACTGATCAGGATAACAAACAGTGAACCATATAATGATTTAAATTAAATGTGGATGCGCTTTTACTGAATATACAATTAAATGTATACACATTCCAGCCTGTTAAAGAATATATAATCATTTTGTTTTACATTCAAATATTTTGAAACTTAATTAAAGTGTTAATACAAAACATATTGAATATGATAAATTGGAAACTGTAAAGTAAGGCTACCATAGAAATACAACAGGGATTTCCAAAATTCACACCATGCACACACACCAACACACTGATGGCCAGTTTCTGCAGAGGAGGTTCCATCTGTGAGGTAAAGGCGGCCTCTAGTGGAAATAAAAGGGAAGGTCTTCTGCTCAGAGTTCTGGGGGCTGTGGATTGCTCTGTGAGAAAAGAGTGAGATAGAGAGACATAAACCAACACAGACGGGGCTCTGAATAGATTTTCACATGGCACAGACACAGGACATATGCTGTGCCTCTGCACTCACAGCACAAGGGACATACTATGGCTGCTAATCCTGGCTATTTTTGGTACCGGTGATGATACAGTTGAAAATAAGTCTTGGCATGATTATCTGTAATTATTGGCAGGATGTGGTCATGGGTATATCTGGATTTGTTTATTAATTCCTGGTAGTCTCTAAAAATGACAGAGAAATGACTTTAAATGTATCCAACCAACCTGCTCGGCAGAGAGGTCCAAATAAATCTTGAACTGGCTCCTGGCGCTCAGTTCTTTTAGCGTGACGTAGTTCACTGGAGCAGTCGGGCCCAAGATTAACCCACTGGTCTGCAATTAATCAGTAAGAAGTGATAGATCTTGGGGATAATCTCCTCAGCAGTAGTTTAAAACCCTGAGTTTACTGAGCAGAATTTAACGAATAAAGGTTAAATAACACGCTGAGCCATACGTCACAACGCAATGGTTAGAACAACCTCTTCTCCACCACAAGCTGCATAAACACTGGTGTCCATGTGATGTGGTGAGGGCATGCATGGTCTCCTGCTTCCAATTCTAGATTAAGAAAGAGGGATTATTGATCTAGTTACTCTGCTTGATTCTATCCTGCCAGGGTGGTGGGGCCTAACGCTTCTGACCCCTGAGGAGTAAGATCTCAACGTCAGCATCCATGCACAAAATGACATTTTTTAAGGAGCTCTTTTAAATACGCATGTTTTCTGAAAGCCAGAAATCTATTTGTGTTCCTGCCACATTTCCTCCATTGTTCTCAATATCTGGAGCATACGCTTGATTTTGAAAATCTGTGGTACGCTAGTAAGCTGGAAAAGTTGGAAAAGCTAAGGTTATATTTTCAGCCCTGTCTGTTTATATGTAAATTAGCAGGATCTCGTCAAAACTCTTGGACAGATTACTACAAAACTTGGATGTGATATACGCTTCAGGGAAGAAGATATTATATTTCGCTGTTGCTCCAGATCAGGGGGCGGATCCTGGATTATTTTTTTCTCTTTCTTTAACATTGCGAGACAGTTTTCTACATTTTCATTGATTTCTCCGAGAATAATTCATGGATCTTGCTGTAAAAAGGATCTGGCATGTTTAAGGGACTGGTATTTATCAGTGTTTGCAATTCGGTGAAGATTAAATAAAAAAATTGGACCTAGTGAATTTAAATGTGGTTTTATAGAGGCACTGTTGAGCCTCGGTGAAGGTTCTAGTTCATGTGACATTAATGACTTTGTCCCTCCAGCAGTTATTTCAGAGCAACAAGAGTAAAAGTGTGGCTGTCTCGTCAAACCAATGAATGATTTGAAAACAAACAAAAAACATTGATGCACCGACAGACTCAAGGATAGATTTTATTCATATTTGAACTATTAACACACAGTAATTATTGGATTAACTGGTGGTGCAAATCACTCCATAAACACAAATCTGACATGTGTATTTGAAATGGTGATTCATTATTCTGATGAGACAAGAGGTTTGTTGTTTCGAACATGACATGAGGCAACACACACACACACACACACA